GCGCCCGACGGCGGAGGAGGGGCGGGGACCCCGCCTTACACTCGCGTGCCTAGACCTCGGAGGCCCGGCTGCCCGTCCCAGCCGTGTCCGGGCCCCAGCCTCCGCCCGCGGACCCGGGGGTCCGGGCCTCAGCCTTCGCCCTCAGACCCAGAGGTCATAGATCCCAGCCTCCTTCCTCAGACCCAGGGGTCCAGACCCCAGCCTCCTCCCTCAGACCTGGGGATCCAGACCCTAGCCTCCCCTCTCAGACCCAGGGGTCATAGATCCCAGCCTTTTCCCTTAGACCCAGGACTCTAGACCCCAGCCTCCTCCTTCAGACCCAGGGGTCCAGACTCCAACTTCCTCCCTCAGAACCAAGAGTCGGGATCCTAATCTCGTTCCTCACACCTAGGGGTCCAGACCCTAGCTTCTTCCCTCAGACCTGGGGATCCAGACCCCAGCCTCCTCCCTCAGACCCAGAGGTCACATATCCCAGCATCCTCCCTCAGACCCAGAGGTCATAGATCCCAGCCTCTTCCCTTGGACTCAGGACTCTAGACCCCAGCCTCCTCCTTCAGACCTAGGGGTCCAGGCCCCAGCCTCCTCCCTCAGACCCAGGCGTCCAGATCCAGCCTCTTCCCCAAGACCCAGGGGTCTAAGGCTCCAATCTCCTCCCTGAGGCCCAGGAATCCAAGCCCCAGCCCTCCTCCCTCAGACTGAGGACTCAGTCTGGGATTCCTGGGGTCTCTGCAAGTTCAGCGTGGACCCAGGGCAGATTCCCACCCTCTCCCAGGAGCCTCGGCAGACATTAACCAGCTGGGCCCGGGTAGCGATAAGGCTTGACGCCCAGAGACAGTGGATGTGGGGGGTTCTTGCACAGAGCCCTCTCTCCTGGAATTTCCTGGGTAGGGACTGGAGAAGGGTGTCTTGTCCTGGGCTTAGATAAGAGAAATCCAAGGTATTACAGGACTTAGAGACAATGGTATGCTTTTTTTTTTTTTCAAGTGATCTTGTGTTGAAATGACCTGCCTACAGAAACAGAGTGAATCCTTAGTTACAGATGTGGGAGGATAGGGGACTGGGACCATGAAAAAGGGGGACGAAAAACCTGGAGTCCAGGTAGGAGACAAGAACTGCAGAGAAGACAGAGAGGGAGGGACATTTGGAGAACGGCATAGAGCTGCAGGCACCCGCTGAAGAAGCCAGATGAGGAGAGACGTGGAGGCCATATTTTAGATGACGGGGGCCTTTACCCTAGCACACCTCCACCCTGGGACTCACAGTTCCCCTCCCCCTGAACTATATTTAGGGGGGAAAATGACACCTGCCGTGGAGGGGGGAGTCACCCAGCACCCCTCTCTGCCTAAATATAGCATGGCAAGGGGGCAGGAAGGGTGTCCCCGGATTAGGGTGTTCCCCACTTGTCCTCTGTGCCCTGCCAAGGAGACATAGAAGCCACTCCAGTTGTTTACTTCCTCTTCCTGAGTCTCTGCCCCCCCCTCTTTGATGTTTCTTTCTCTGTCATCTCTAGGTGTCTGTCCTCTCTCTCTCTCTCAGTCTCTTTCCCCACCATTTGTACCTTTTCTGCTACTAGAGGGGAAAAGGTGGTCGGATGAGCAATCAGCTCATACCTGTACTCCTCGCTATTCAGAAGGCTGAGGCGTAGATTTGGTTCCAGGCAAATTGGGGCAGAAAAGTCCCAGAGACACTATTTCCAAACTAACCAGCAAAACTCCTGACTGGTGGCATGGCTCATGTGGTAGAGAACCAGCTATAAGCAATAAGCCAAAAAGATTGAGAGGCCTCAAGTTTCCCAGCCAAAAAAAAAGGTGTGGGGAGGAGGAAGGTGATTGGGTAAACTGAATTCCTTCCCTACATTCTGTAGCTCTTGTAGCTCTCTTCTTTTTGCTTCGTGTGTGTGTGTGTGTGTGTGTGTGTGTGTGTGTGTGTTGAAACTGGGGCTTGAACTGGGGCCTTGTGCTCTTGCTTTGGCTTTCTTGCACATGGCTGATATTCTACTTGCCCAAGCCATGCCACTAACCCATTTTTTTTGTTTACTAATTGGAAACTGGAGTTTGGCCCATTTTTGGCCTGGGCTGACTTCTCACCATGATCCTCCAGGTCTCAGCCTCCTAAGTAGCAAGGATGTCTGGTATGAGCCACCCAGGCCAGGCTCCACACAGGTTGAAACTTAGGGCCTTCTACTTAATTAAGCAGGGACTTTCTGCCTGAGATACATCCCCAGGCCTCCTTTCCTGCATGGTGATTGGTTAGGTGGACTCAGAGGGAGGTATGCCCTCAAATCACCTCTGAGAACTCAGTGGTGCCTCTAAGAGTTTGTAGGACCAAAAAAAAAAAAAGTGTGTGGAGGGGGTGGGGACAACAATAATAACAGCACTCTGCAAACCACTGGATACGTTTTAATAAATTAATACAAGTACCTTCAATGACATTTGGCTTATAGGAAGCCCTATGTGTGTTAGTGATTACAATCCTCCTCCTCTTCCTCCTCTTCCACCTCTTTATCCTCCTCTTCTTCCTCCTCTTAGGCCTTTAGTCCTGAAAGACTGAAATGTTTGGCCTTGCCCTGTTGGGTCACAGCCTCCTCTGTGAGTATCAGCCTCCTGATCAATCAGGCCACTGGTCTTGGAGGTGCCCGGTGCTCAGGCAGGCTGTGGGGGTGGTGGAGTCGGGCAGCCTGTCACAAATCCTCCCCAGGTGACCTTGGCAAGCCTTGGCCCCGCTGAGACTCAAGTTTCCCTCCTGGAAAACACACCAAGTCCCCCTGACGGCCTTCCTGAGGTAACAGAGGATGGGTGACGCACGCCAGTTTGGGCTCTGGTGATGACTGGGAAAACTTGAGACTTCATGTGTCTCTTCCCACTCAGGGACACCGAGGGGTTTCTGCCTTTATTTTGTTTTTGCTCTCTCTCTCTCTCTGAAACTCTAGTCTCCAGTGTTGATGTCTGTTCCCTACTCTTTCTGAGTGTCTGACCTCCCCTTCTCATTCTGGGTCTCAATCCCTTTCAGAGTGTCTGCCTTGTCTTCTCTCCGGGTCTCTGTCTTCTTCTCAATGGACCTCTGTTTCTGTCTCTCTCCCCGCTTCTGTCTCTGTACCTCTGGGTCTGTAGTCTCCCAGCCTGCTCCAAACATGGCCGTTCCCTGTTTTCTTGCCCTTAAGTTCCTACCTCCATGTCTCCATACCGAACGAATAAAGTGGGAGTTTGTTTGACAGAGGTTGGATAAGCAGACAGAGATATCCAAATTCCTAGTTCATTTGGAGCCCCTCTGTCTTTCTTTTGTTTGTTTTGCTGTTCCTGAGCCTTGAACTCAGGGCCTGGGCTCTGTTCCTGAGCCTCTCTGTACTCAAGGCTAGCCCTCTACCACTTGAGCCACAGAGCCACTTCCAGCTTTTTCTGTTTATATGGTACTGAGGAATCAAACCCAGGACATCCTGCATGCTAGGCAAGTACTCTACCACTAAGCCACCTTCCCAACCCTGGGAACCTCTCTGAACAAACTGACTCCAAAGATAGAGGGTCCAGCCTGCCCCCTACGGTGAATAACACAGGACAGGCTGCTTCCGTCCCTTCGCCTGACCCATGACATACAAATGCTTTCTTACCCAAAGCTGTGATCCTTGCCACGAAATGCAAGGCCCCTTAACATGGGGTCTCTTTCACACAAAGCCCAAGTGAGCCCAATATTGGTGCCGGGTTCACTCAATGCTATGCTTCAGCCCGGCTCCATGAGCCATGACTGAGAGATAATTATGGGGCCAAACTGAATCTACTGATGGGATCACCCACATCAACTCAGGGTGGCCCTGAACAGCTTCTAGCCATGAAATTCAACACATCTCTACCCAACAGAATTCTGTGGTCTTCAAGAACCCATTCTAAGCCTACTGGGCATGATGTGGCACACTCTCATGCCATGATGATTATCTTTCTACACACACCCCCCTTCAGGAAGATACAAAGGCAGGAAGTCTTCAGCATCTCAGTGCAACTCACCAACACCCACCTGATCATACCATCAACCCAGCCCCACCCTGGTGACTGCTTGATCGGATCCAACATGGCCCTGGGGGATTCTAACTCACAGAATCCCTCCTAGAGCACAGGGACAAGACAAATACAAACTCGAGGAAAGTTACACCATGACGGGATCACTGCAGTCTCAGCATGTACCTCCAAAAGATGCCACAAGATTTGTACAGCTCCATACAACACCCTTTGTATGCAAAGGGTGGCCATTCATTTGCTCCCACAGGAGTTAACCAAATCCTACAACTCGACCCCATTCATTCTCATGTACCCTAGTTCTTCCTAAACCAGATCCCCCCTCCCTGCTGCCCTTCTTCCCTCCCTCCCTCCCTTCTGAGGTCTTGCACACCTCAGGCTGTCCCTCCTCACACCTCGGTGACCAGGTGTTTTCCAGGGGGGGCCCAGAGTGGAGGGGGGAGCTCAGGCACCTCTCCATCCACCAATCCCCCATTAGCTTTGCCCTCCAGTGTGCCACAGGGCTGCGTGTCCACGTGGCTGTACATCCCGGCCTCTTCGCCTTCTGTCTCTCGGTGGTAAAAGTAGCTGAAGTTGGATACTATGACTGGCACAGGTAAGGAAATGGTCAGCACGCCAGCGATGGCGCACAGAGAGCCCACTATCTTGCCACCCACGGTGACAGGCGCCATGTCTCCATAGCCAACCGTAGTCATGGTAACCACTGCCCACCAGAAAGACTCAGGGATGCTGGTGAAATGGGTATCCACCCGGTCAACTTCGGCAAAGTACACTGCACTGGAAAAGAGGACCACCCCGATGAAGAGGAAGAAGATGAGGAGACCCAGCTCACGCATGGAAGCCCGAAGTGTCTGACCCAAAATCTGCAGGCCCTTTGAATGTCGAGATAGCTTGAAGATACGGAAGACACGCACCAATCGGATAACTCGCAGGATGGCCAGGGACATGGCCGGTTGACCCACCCCCCGCTGCCGGGCCAGCTCAGTGCCCAGTGCCACAAAGTAGGGCAGGATAGCCACAAAATCGATGAGATTCATCACGTTCTTGAAGAAGACTGCTTTGCTTGGGCAGGACAGCAGGCGTACGAGCAGCTCAAAGGAAAACCAACAGATGCATAGCGTCTCCACCACAAAAAATGGGTCACTGAAGGGCAAGCGAGATGGAGTTCCAGGCATGGGACTGGAGCCGTTCAGCCGAGCTGGGAACTGTAGGGAAGAACGAGAGGTCAAGGTGGGCCAGGCCAGAGCAGGGACTCTGGGATAGCCTTATACATTTCCCACAGACAGGTCAGTAGAGACCAAAGCCCAGAGACTTGCCTTTCTTCCTTTCTTCATGATTGGTTTTTCTTCCCAGGGCCTCAGCCCCACCTCCACTCCAGCTCTCTGGCTTCACGTTTGGGCATGCATGCCTCCTGCCCATCCATCCTTTTTCCATTTGTCTCTGCCAGCTGAACAGACCCTGGAGTTTTCAGACTCTCTTTTGCCCCACAGCTTCTTATTGTGTGTGTGTGTGTGTTCTGTAGTTAAACTCAGGGTTTGGAGGCTGTCTCTTAGCTTTTTTTCCCCTCTACCACTTGAGCCATACTTCTACTTGTGGCTTCTTGCTGGTGAATTGGGGGATAAGAATCTCATGGAGTTTCTTGTCTGGTTTGGCTTTGAACCGTGGTCCTCAGATCTCAACCTTCAGAGTAGTTAGGATTACAGGCATGAGCCACCAGTGCCCAGCTAACATCAATATTTTTCATAGTTAAAATTTAAGATAAGGTTTTGCTATGGAGCATAGAGTGACCTTGAACTCCAGGTCCTTCTGCCTCAGCCATCCAAGTGCTGGGACTATGGGCATGCATCACTACACACAGCTACAGCTTCCCTTTTTGCTGGTCTGCTTTCCTACTCCCTGCCCCAAAGACCCTCACTCTGCAGTTGGGGTTCTTACCTATTGCACCCCCACTTTCTGACAGAGCAGGTAGTCCTCTTTGGATCATCAGGTACAGCCTTCTGCCCAGCTTTCGGGGGCAGAGTGCTAAGTCAGTACTCTGTCTTTGGGTTATCCACCCCTCTTAGCCCCTTGTCCTACTTTTTGATAGGCCAGATCTTCTAGGAGACCGCCCCTCTCCATCCATGACACGCTCCTCCCCATCCAGCCCCACTTATCTCCATCCAGGCCCTGCCCATCTCCTTCTAGGCCCTGCCCCCACTGGTCCAGGCTCTCCTCCACCCAGGTTCCACCTCTAGTCAAACAGGGCCCACCCTCCCAGCATCCGGGTGCCATTTCTCTTCACCCAGATCCATCTCCATCCTGGGCCCTCTCCTTTGCTGTTCAGGCCCCGCCCAACTCTAGTCAGGCTCCGCCCCTCCCCGTCCAGGCGCCGCCCGCCTCCGTCCTGGCCCCGCCCCTCACCGGGCCAGCCGCTGCTGCCGCAGCCAGGGCAGCAAGCCCGGCGTCGTCGCGATCGTCGCGGAAGTCCGGCAGCGTCTCCAGGCAGAAGACGACGATGGAGACGAGGATGACGAGCACGGAGACGACGGCCAGCACGCGCGCAGCCTGCGAGCTCTCGGGGAACTCGAAGAGCAGCCAGAGCTGTCGCGCGAAGGCGCGGCTGGGCAGGGGCCGCTCGGGCGGCACGGCGCAGCCCTCGTCCTCGCGCAGGCGCGCCAGGGCGGCGGCGCCCAGCCCGTAGAAGGCCACCTCCTCCAGGAAGACGTCGAGCGGCACGTGCGCCGGCCGCCGCAGCCGCCCGCCCGACTGGTAGTAGTACAACACCGCGTCGAAGCTGGGCCGGTGGCGATCGAAGAAGTACTCGCGGCGCGCGCCGTCGTAGAAGCGACTGCGCCGCGCTGGGTCCCCGAGCAGCGTGTCCGGGAAGCGGCCCAGCGTGCGCGCCCGCGTCTCGAAGCGCAGCCCGGCCACATTGAGCACCAGCCGCTCGCAGCAGCCGCACGGCGGCGGGCA